TTAATTGTTTAGGTAAAAATCATACAGTTTATCATTGCCGTCAGTCCACAAAATGTCAATTGTGTAAGAAAAGACATCACACACTACTTCATCCCAAGCCGATCGCAAAATCTTCGGAACCAGGTAATGGTTCAGCAGATCAGAATGTCGTGGTTGCTACTGCAACTGCTTCTTCTACTCAAAGCGAGTGTATCACAAACATTTGTTGTTTCACAGATGTTCACAATCAAGGTCTGTTAGCAACGGCCTTGGTAAAGGTCGAGTCAAGGAATGGTACTGCTATGGTTTTACGAGCTCTAATGGATCAGGGTTCGCAGGTCTCTTTTATTACGGAGTCCGCAGTACAGTTACTTGGCCTTAGAAAAACACCTGCCCGCACCGACGTATTCCGACTAGGCGATGATGAGGGCTCGCCGATGCCCTCTAGATGGATGGTTAAAATCAAGTTACAATCACGCCTAGATCCCACCTTTGTTTTAGATGTCGATGCTTATGTCCTTAGCAAATTAACATCACGTTTACCTGAAAGAAAAATTGTTCAAGTGTTGTCAACGTTCTCATCCTTCGAACTAGCCGACCCAACCTTTGCTACTCCAGGTAAGATAGACTTACTTTTGAGTACTAGTGTGGTTGCCGAAGTTTTGTTGGAGGGTTTGGTTAAAGGTCCGCCGGGCACGCCCGTCGCTCAAAATACCAAACTTGGCTGGATTTTATCGGGTGAAATCCGGAACCCACCGGTGGCTTCGAGGCCAGTATGTTGCCATGCTATAGCTGGCACAGACGTGAATGAGCTATTACGTAGATTTTGGGAGTTAGAGTCGTATCAATCTTCAAGCGCCAAGGTTATGCTAACCGAAGAGGAGCAGCGATGCGAAGATTTTTATACTGCAACGACTCAAAGAGACTCAACTGGTAGGTACATTGTTAAACTGCCATTTGGGTCCACTAACCCAAAGTCTAGGTATGGTAAGACAGAAATCATAGCTCAGAAACGATTTCACATGCTGGAAGGGAGATTTTTGAGGAATCCTGAATATCACAGACAGTATAGCGATGTCATCGATGAGTATCTTCAGCTAGGGCATGCTGAAGTTGTTCCCCAAAGTGAAAGGGGAAGAGATGCCGTATATTTGCCGCATCACGCAGTACTCCGACACGATAAAAGCACGTCAAAGGTTAGGGTGGTTTTCGACGCTTCTTGTTCGGGATGCAATGGAGTTTCGTTAAACGACGACTTAATGGTTGGCCCTACCTTACAACCTGATTTACGCCAAATCATTATGCGATGGCGCCGCCATCCCATAACGTTAGTCGGCGACATTGTTAAAATGTATCGCCAAATAAAGGTTTCAGATGATGACACTGATTTTCAACGTATTTTGTGGCGTAAAGACCCGGATGCAGAATTACAGCATTTGCGTTTATTGCGTGTAACTTTTGGTACATCCTCAGCTCCATATCTTGCAGTACGTTCATTGCAGCAACTGGCTCTTGACGATGGGAAGAATTTTCCTTTAGCAGCTAGTCGTGTTCTTAATGACTTCTATGTTGATGATTTGCTCACGGGTTGTGAATCGGTCGTTGAGGGTCAAGATATTTACAATCAAATGAACGAGTTACTTAGTCGAGGAGGTTTCCAGCTCCAGAAATGGTCTAGTAACAATGAAGAGTTTATGCATAGAATTACGAAAGGGACAGTAGACTTGAAGGAAAAGTTAGAATTTAAATTAGATAATATTGTGAAAATTTTAGGGTTGTCATGGGATAGAAAATCAGATAAATTCAAATATACTGTCCACCTGAAGGAGCTGCAAACACCCGTTACTAAGCGCAGATTAATATCAGACATCGCTCGGTTATTTGATCCTCTGGGATGGCTTGCACCGGTTATTACAACGGCTAAAGTACTCATACAGCGGGTATGGTTATCAGGTATTGAATGGGATGACGAGCTTCCAGATAGTGTATTGAGGGATTGGCTTAATTTTAGAAATGGGTTGCACAACATCAATTCCTTCCATATATCTAGATGGTTTCAGACCAGCCGAACAGACAGACATACGGAGTTGCAAGGCTTTTGTGATGCATCCAATGTTGCTTATGCTGCTGTGGTGTACATGCGATCTGTAGATTATAATGGTACTGTTCACGTCAGTTTGGTGGCCTCCAAAACCAAGGTAGCTCCAGTCAAGGTGGTTTCTATACCACGCTTGGAATTATGCGGCGCAGTGCTACTCTCAAGGCTTCTTTTAGAAGTCTCGAGCACCTTGAGTATTAGTAAGGATAAAATCCATGCTTGGACTGACTCTTCAGTTGTTCTTGCTTGGTTGAGAGGTCATCCCAGTCGGTGGAACACGTTCGTCGGTAATAGGGTTTCTGAAATTCTTACCGCGATGGAAAGTACTCAGTGGTCACATATTCGATCTAAAGACAATCCAGCAGATTGCGCGTCTCGAGGTATGAATTGTTCAGAATTCGTAGAGTTTACACTATGGAAAGAGGGTCCTAAGTGGTTAAAAAATAAAAATATTAATTATAACAACAGTAACATAGAAGAAACTAATTTAGAAGAAAGAAAATCAAATGTAACATTTAATGTAATAGTTAAGGAAAACCAAGAAAATAGTGTGTTTTCAAAATTTTCATCCCTAAAGCGATTAGTTCGAGTAGTAGCTATTTGTAGAAAATTTTTAAAGTTAAAGCATAGAAACAAAATACAATCAAACGCCCTCATAACATTTACAGAATTTAATGAATCGCTATTTACATGTATTAAGATGTGTCAGATGGATCATTTTAGGGATGAAATAAAAGATTTGAAGACTACAGGACAGATTAACAAAAAAAGTAAACTCAGCTCACTAAATCCATACCTTGATAAACATGAAATTCTAAGAGTAGGGGGTAGATTACAGCACGCTAACATTCATGAAGAAATGAAACATCCTGTAATTATACCACATAAGTCACATTTCACGACTCTTTTAATAAACGATGCTCACGAACGTACCTTGCACGGTGGCGCACAGCTAGTATTAAATTATTTGCGAAGTCAATATTGGATCATAAACGCTAGAAGCTCAGTTAGAGGTCATATACGTAAGTGTGTTGCTTGCATTAGATATGCTGCCCGAGGTATTGCGCCGTTGATGGGGCAGTTGCCAGCTGCCAGGGTCAATGCTAGCCGACCTTTCTACCATAGTGGCGTCGACTACGCGGGTCCTATTAGTGTAAGAGCCACGAAGGGTCGCGGTCATCACTCCACTAAGGGATATATCTGCCTATTTGTGTGCATGGCTACTAGAGCCATTCATTTAGAGGTCGTCAGTGACATGACGTCTCAAGCGTTTTTGGCGGCCTTTAAACGCTTCACATCTCGCCGAGGCCATTGTAGGGAGCTTTGGAGTGATAACGGCACTACCTTCGTAGGGGCTAATAAGGAATTAAAGATTCTTTTCAGCCAAGAAAGGTCTGGTGTAGCACCTGATATTGCTGACTGGTTGGCCACTAATGGAACGGACTGGCACTTTATTCCACCCCACTCTCCGAATTTCGGAGGGCTTTGGGAGGCTGGGGTGAAGTCCACTAAACACCATCTAAGGCGGGTCATAGGTAATAGCACTCTTACGTTCGAAGAGATGACTACTGTACTTACTCAAATCGAGGCTTGCCTAAATTCAAGACCAATTTCCGTTTTAAGTACCAATCCTGACGATCCGTGCCCATTAACTCCGGGTCATTTCTTGGTAGGCGAACCGCTGTTGCTCGTACCCGAGTCTAATTTCGAGAACTCAATTATTAGTGCGTTAAAGAGGTGGCATCTAACACAGCGCTTGGTGCAAGATTTTTGGCGTCGGTGGTCTAATGAGTATCTTGCTCAGTTCCACCAAAGACACAAATGGTCCCGCCAGATTTCAGAGCCAACAGTAGGAAGCGTTGTCTTGGTGATGGAAGATGATCTACCTCCGGCAAGATGGCTTCACGGTCTTATTGTTGAGAAACACACTGGCTCGGATAAAGTCACTCGAGTTGTTTCTTTGCGCTGTAAGGGAACTATAATAAAAAGACCGGTTTCCAAACTAATTGTGCTACCAGTTGCAGAATAAATTACTGCAACATTGATTTGTATTGTGTTTAGTCATGTAAGTTGAGGTTTATAGATACATAATATGTAATGTTTTCAATTGTGTTTAAGTTATACAGTCCATTAGCTTTGATAGTGCCCATCAAGTATTTACATATAATTGTTAGTGTAAGTTGAAACCATATTTGTTTTGATTGGTTGTTAAGATTTTATTTTGTGTGATGGCCATTCTGGCCATGGTGGGCGGAATGTTCAATGAATAACCATTAGTTTTGTTTAAACCCGATAGATGGCGCTGTGTTAATTTTCTGAGTCGCGATATTGTGAAACCACGGGCTATCGTATATATGTCAATTAAGTTAATAAAAATTATCCTCGCTTGGCTGTGTGTTTCATTTCTAACCACGGTCCTTAGGCGATTTTTGGGACTAAGGTCCAGTAATGCACTAAAAAGTTTTATAATTAAATTAAGTTACAATAACCTAATGGCAATTGTTAATAACACTTTGGTGAATATTTGTTTTTCAGATCATTTTTGTTCCTGAGAAGTTGAATAATAAATGTCTTTTGAAATAGAAAGACGCCAATGAAGTCATTGAAAGAAAAACATTGTATGTTCATTTTCAGGTTCTAAGAGTTCCTAAAACATATCGTTATAACGAACAAGCAAGTGTTTAAAGGGAGACTTTTAAACGTGTAGAGCCATGCTTTAACATATATGGCCCGGCTATACCGGAGTGATACCACAGCCTCACAGAAAACCGGTGTCAAGCAGTTCTGAGAATTCGAGAGTAAAGTTACCGGAGCCCAAACCCCTCCCTCTGATTCTGGGGGGAGGGACTGAAGGGTGGCGACGATAGTCACTCACTATCAGTGACCTGTCTCGTAAGCGGCCTATAACAAAAAGTCGACTGACCTGTCGTACTGCGGGCGCGTCGCTGGGGCGCAGCGCGTGCAGGCGCGCCTCGGCGCTGTCGGCGAACGAGCGCACCGCCGTCGCCGCGTCGCGGTACCGCCGCCACAGCTCAACCGCCTTGTTGTACCTGCCGCACCATAACACTATATATATCAAACATCATTTATTCAAATTAGGCTGCGTGCCAAAAATAAAGACTCCCAAAAAACGCCCAACCCGTAACTACTTCCTAACTGGGAAGCGGTAGAACAAACTCCCCAGAAACTTGTCTGTTGAGTTAGGAGAACTGGAATTTATACATTACTAACTGACCCGGCAAACGTTGTTTTGCCATATACATTATTTCTAGGAAATATTGAAAAAAATAAAATTTTGGGGTGGGTTACCCTTGTCATTTAGGGGTATGAAAAATAGATGTTGGCCGATTCTCAGACCTACCCGATGTGCACACATAATTTAATAAAAATCGGTCCAGCCTTTTCGGAGGAGTATGGTAACTAACATTGTGACACGAGAATTTTATATATAAGAAGATTATGCAAACAATTACAATAAATGGCAAAATAATATAACATAACATGGGTATTACTAATCAATTGTAAGCTAGCAAACTCCTTGTGGCGTGCAATGGGAGAGGATTATGTCCAGCAGTGGACTGCGATAGGCTAATGATGATAAAACTCCTTGAAATACATAATAACATTTTATTCTACATTGTTTCCCATACTAACTTTTAAAGTATCGCATTCCGTAATATATGACTCGCTGACTGATTGATTATGTGTGTGACTTATGATCACGGCCAGTGCAACCTGGTCGAAACGAGGGACATTTCAAAGGTGACACAGACCATCATACCTGACGGCCGGGTGGCGTAGTAGTTATAGAAACTAGGGACTAGGGACTGCTACGCCAAAGGTTTGATTCCCACTCACTCATCTCAAATATTAGTGTGCACAAGCATTTAAGTTGGGTTTTGATTTGGTCTGGGTGTTTCTTGGATGGTGTTATGTGAATGTGGTAGAATATTATTATTATTATACAGTATACCTAGCGTGTGCAAGTTCATCATCACATCAACAGCCTTTAATAGTCCATTGCTGGACATAGGCCTCTCCTTAGAAAGGAGGTTTTGGCCTACTATACCACTCTGGCCAGACGGTTTGGTATAGGGTTTGTATCAAGTTTTCCTTCTTTTTGCAGTGCTGGTATCCTGCGTTGTTTTGCGCCCTTAGTCGGCTCTTACGACACCCACGGGATGAATAGGTAGTAGTGACATTCCGTATTCTTAATCCGTCACTATAAGGACGTGTGCGAGTTAATTCTCGTAAACATTATTATAAATTAACAACACTTTTATTCTTGTTTTCTTGCAATATGTAAGCGTGATTTGATGAAACCGCCTGAAGTGTGAACCATTCCAGGGGAAACGGGTGCTATTTAATTTGACCGATGGGCTCGACGGGCCTGTTTGTATAGTGGTTAGTGACCCTGTCTGCTAAGCCAGAGGTCGTGGGTTCGATTCCCATCCAGGACAAATAATTGTGTGATGAGTACGATCATTTGTTCTGTGTCTGGGTGTAATTTATCTATGATATGTATGTATTTAGAAATATATAAGTATGTTTCTAGTTTGGAATCAGATGGCTGTGTGTGAGATGTGTGAAATTAATTAATATTGTGAAGTTACTTATTACTTTTATCGCTACTCGGAGGTGTATTGTTTTTTATTAAAATTTTAGATTCAAGATAAATTCGAATGGGATTTTCTTAGGATTACAGTAATTAAAAAAAAGATTTTGTAGGGTGTGTAGTGAAAGAGGGAGTACTGACTTGTCACAGAGCTGCGTGAGGTTGGCGCAGGTGTGGTGGTAGGCAGCGGCGGCGCTGTCCAGGTCGCGGCGCAGCGCGGCGGCCACGCTCGCGTCCGAGCTCGCCTCCAGCGGCGCCGCCGCCGCGCTCAGCTCGCCCACCAGCTCGCCGCTGCGCTGCGACAGCGACTCGCTCAGCGTCTGACGGACAAAAACATTTATTAAAATAAACTGAAACATATTTTTACAATTTTCAAAAATGTTAGATGTGATTACGATTTCAGATAGCTCTAAAGTTCAGTCTTTTAATAAAAAGTGATGCAAGAGAAGGCAGTGAAGATAAACTTGGCTGCATAAGAAAAAATATATGGCCTAAAGATATAATTCTTTAATACTTTTACTTTCTATAAAACTAATTAAAATACCTTAATTTCATACATCGCGACAGTGATTGAGTTGTACCCACCTCTAACTTCTCAGTGGCCTTGAGCAGCCGATCGTAATCAACCTGACCCTGGACCGTCAGTAGTTCCACCATGTAGTCAGCCTCTCTGACAGCGCTCTGGACCATCTCCAGTTGTCTCTCAAACCGTCGCCATAACTGAAGTTTAGCACGAAGACGGCTGCTGAGGTCGCTGCAAGCCGCTTCGAGTTCCGCGTGTGTTTCCTACAAACAGTCATTAATAAAACATACAATAAACATTATTTATGTTTTACATATTTAAAAATATTGAATTAGTATGTAGGTTAGATTAAGACAACTTTTGGTTATTCTGATAAATCAAATTCACTCATCACCGTTTATTCATACATAAGTCCATTGGTTTTCTAAAACAAACAGAATAATCGCAACAACAGATGGCTTTATCAAATGTAAAATTATTAAGTTGCAACAGTTGAGGCTGTGTTTTCTAAAACTTACATAAATATGACACCATATTTTCAAATGGCTGAAGAAATAGTATGCTCAATTTCTTCACTCATGACATTTACGTATAAAAAAATAACGTAACTCACCTGTAATCCAGAGATGTCCTTCTCGACCCCGGTAGGTGACACTACCACCCTCAGACTAATTGGCAACGAATGGAGAGCCTGTCTCAACGCCAGAATATCCCTCCACTGCACACCTAACTCATCGATCAATTTATCACAGTTCTCGGATGCGCGTTCCACCACATCACTGCCCAGTCTTTCGGCTGCTTCGCACTCCTCCAAAGTCAGTCTAGCGCGACGTTGGCTTTTCTGACACCGCGCTATACCCGCCTGAACTTGGACAATCTTCTCTTTCAGCAACATACTGCATTCTAGTTCCTCCGCAATTTGATCACCCAGGTTGCCAGATTGTGTCAGCAAAGCGCCGAGCCGCTCAGACTCCGCCGTTGGCAATAGGCTTAGTCTTCCTAGCTCATTCTGTATACGATCGATTCTGCTGGTCATGACTTGTAGTCTTTCAATATAAAGGTTAAGTTCGTCTTCACTCTTGATAACACCTTTGAGACCTTCAACGGCAGAACGGAGCTCCCTAAGTTCTTCTTCGAGAATATTTAATTTTTCACCCGAGGACACGTCACGATCTGAGATATTTTGAATGGCTGTCGAGTGAATGTTACTGATCTTGGAAGCCAACTCACTCCATTTATCTTCTATCTTTGAAAAGAATTGGCGTTGTACCATTTCATCTGAGACAGGTAATATTTCTAGTGCCTTCTCAAATTGTACTGCAGATTCATTCTTTAGGTTATTATATACTTCGTGTTGTGCCTTCAGCTCCCAGAATCTTCTGAGATTGCCTGTCGTCGTGATATTATCCGGAGTAATAAACTCTAGTTCTCTGTTTGCCACCTTCATCCATCCTTCGATCCTATCAATAAGGTAATCATATGTTACCCAATTTTCCTTAAAAGCTGTTAACCGTGTTAATCTGGAGTCTACATCATCTTGAAGTCTCAGCAGGGTGTCTAAAGCTACAGAACATTCTGTCTCTAAACCAGAACATACAATTAAATTCTGAAGACTCTGTGTAATGGATAGTAGACGTAACATCTTAGCGTAGTGATGTGATAAGTCAAGGCTTACAGATTGATATAAATTGATGTATTGTTCATGGTCCATGGATGTGACATTGCTTAGATCTGGAACTCTCTGTTGGGCAACAACAAGCCATTGCATTTCTTCCTTCATGCCATGTTGTAGTAAAGACCACCTCGAAGCAGCTAAAGTCATTTGCTGAGCACGGCTTGCAGCTCGGTCAATAATAACAGTAGCTCTATCATGTAATAAATTATGTAAAGATGAGTATTTTGCTCTGGTTTCATTATCTAAATTGTCTTCCAATGACTCAAGAATAGCCCTACAGTGACTCAAGTTTACAAAGAATTTCCTATGCTTTTGAATTTCTTCGTGCAGATGATCCAGGTCTGATACAATGATTTTACCATCCAATAACGCCTCTGCAACATCTGTAATCTGTCCGAAGTCTTGTAGAGTTTGTTCGTACTCTTCAGCTAAAGATGCAAGTTGCAATAGACGATCACGCTCTGTATTAACAGCATTTTCTACTTGCTTAGAGCCATCATCACAGTCGTAAAGTTTCGATGGGCATTCCCTTTTAGGATTATTTTCAATTAGACTGCGACACCGCTTGTACATCTTTGTTATTGCCGTAACATTGTCAAAGTTGGTTAATTCGATTTTATCAAGTTTTTCTAATTTCTGCTGTGTTGGAATTTCTGACAAAATCACATTATCCAATGTTTCCTTTACAGCCTCAACTGAAACATTGAGTTGGTCTACATCGTCCAAGAATTTAAGCCATTCCTTCTCGTATTCTTGTACTTTGATTGAGCTTTGATTGTTCAAAGTATTAACAGCGTTCAGTTGACGGGTTAATGTTTCAATCAAAGTAATAATTTCTTCGTTTACTTCTGTAACCTCAATAATATTTTTAAGCTGTAGTACATTTTTTTTGTAATTCCTTGAGACGTTCATTATCTTCTGTTGTTTTAACCCCAGTTAGGGTTTGTCTCTGGATCTTGTATTGAATTTCTTCTAGCCAAATAGAAATAGTTTCTATGATTATGATGACACTTCTTTCTGTTCGAGTTGGATCATTGCTTTCAATAGCATCTTTTACTTCATCTAATTCTTTGTTGACAACTAATTGATATGAATTTTGCACCGAGGGTTCTAACAAAGCTATAGTTAAAGAATCATCAGGAACACTTCTTTGTGGTTGGGTTACTGATTGTGCTCGCTTCTCTAATGCATCCATCAACCTTGCCTTTTCTGATTTATAGGGAATGATCGTCTTACTAGGTGATGGTGATTTAGATTTCGATCTTTGAACAACATCGGAGTATGTCAATTTAGGTTGTGTGATTGTTTTAGTTGGCATTACATAACTAGCCAACTGAGAAATTCCCTCGTCTATAGAGGATGAGTCTCTGAGAGAGACATCTTCACTAGTTGGCGTGATAGACATGGAGAGTTCGGTGTTTATAAGATCTGATAGACTTTCAGGTGATTGTACTAAAGGTGAATCCGCCTTTTTCTTTGACTTACGTTTTTTATGTTTATACTTGTCACCCAAAATAGACATTGGTGGTTCTTCAAATTGACGTTCATATTCCAAGAAGTCTGTTGTAGCCTGCGGGACGGTGACTTGAGCTTTCAAATGAATTTCGTATGGCTCACTAGTTGATGTTGAAATAGAATCATCTGAATAAACCCTTGGAGTGGTTTGTTGGGTGCGGTCAATCGTTACGATTTCTTTTCTTTGTAAGTCCAGTGTAGGCACCACTATGGGAGTAGTTTCCAAAATTGGTTCCGATCTTGGTGAAGTCTGTTGTGTGTTATCTACTGTTCTAACCAGGTTCTTAGGAGATTCAGGTTTTTCCAATAGTGGCGTTTGTATTTTAGGGGCTTCAGTTTCCCTCGGTGTTGTTTGCTGAGAATTATCAACAGTCACGACTTCACTTATTTCTACATTAGGACGTACTTCCTCTTCTCTAGGTGTCGTTTGTTGTGTACTATCAACTGTGATTATTTCATGTTTCCCTATTTCTAGGGAAGGCAACGAAGGCTGTTCTGTTTGGTCAACTTTTTCTGTTAACTCTTCGACAGGCTCGGGAGTGTCAGATTGTGTGAAAGAGCTCACTAGTTGAACTTCTGGCGTTTGTATACTTATCTCTGTCAACTCCTTTTCTTTAAACGGACTAGTCGATGTGCCTTGATCAGCGATCTCTTGCTTTACAGTTTGAATGTCACTTTCAGTTGTCTGTATAAATATTTCTGTAGATTTTTCTTCAGTCTCTATTTCAGGTTCAGGAGAAGTCTGTATTTCTCTCGACTCTTTTTCAATCTCAGGTGATAATGGCTTTTCTATTACGTCTGGTTGAATAGGTGATGTTTGTGAGAATTTTTCTGATGGAGTTGCAATATCATGTGGTATAACCTGAGTAGTGGCCTCCGATCGAATAATTTTTATAGGAGATTCTGACCTGCTCGTTTGTATCTCAGTGTCTGACATTATTTTTTCTACAACAGTTTTAACTTCTTCGACAGTTTGCGTGTGAGCCTCTTTGTCTTCTACTGGAGTTGTCTGTGTAATAACTTCACTTATTGCCGTTGGGGTGGTTTGCAGTTCAATATCAGAAGTTCCTGGTGGCGTAAAAGCTTTTACTGCTTCGCTTTCCTCGGGTGACGTTTGTATAGAATATTCTTGGGTTGCGATTTCTTCTATTACTTGAACAGGGAATGTAACTGTAGTTGGCACTTCTTTTTCCGCAATCTCTGGGCTGCTTTGAACGCATTCTTCAACTATTTTTACTGTGCTTATGTCAGATGTTTCGCTCATAGTACGATATGATTCTTCTTTAGGTGATATAATTATTTCAGTGCCAACCTTTGGACTTTCGGGTTTTTCTTCTGTGACAGGTTCAATTACTAATTCGAGTGATTTTGGTTCATCTGGCAGCTCCAGTTCTAGGACTTCCTTTTCTACAGGTTCCACTATAGGCTCAGAAACCGTCTTGTTCTTTCGTTTCTTATCTCTTCCCTTTTTAAGTGGTTCAAGCATTTCAACGGGCGTGGTCACAGTTGTATCTTCAGTTTCAGTAGAAGTAAGTTTTGGATATACAGTATCTTCACTGATGCCATGTTGCCGACGTTTCTTATGCTTTTTCTTTTTGTCCGGAGTTGGTACTAATCCTATAGATAAATCTTCTGGTTCATATCCTTGTTCTTCAGAAATAGAAACATCTTCTGATGCCTGATATGAATCTACAATCTCTTCTTTTATTTCAACTACGGGTTCTTTAGGCAAACTTTCTGGTGACTTAACTTCACTGACCGGACCTGAACTTTTTTGTAGTTTGGATTCGCGAGATAATTCGTCCGGTGTTTCCAAGGGTGGAGTTTTGCGAATAACAGTTGCTACTTCGATAGGAGTTTCTAAAACGTCTTCTGTGGGCTTGGGAGACTCTACTTGAGGTGAACTTGGTAATTCCACATAATGGCTTAAAGAAGAACTATCAGTTTCCACAATGCTTTTATCCGTTTCAATTTCTGTTGATTTACTTACAATTGTTTTAATTTTCTGTTTCTTCTTCTTTTTGCTCTTCATTTGCTTCTCCACTAAGTCTGGAGTTGTGACTTCTTTCACTTGTTCTTTAGTTTCATGAATCACTGGTGGTTTAGGTACTTCTTTCGTTATTCTAATATCAGTAGGCAATATAACTTCAATATCCTTTTTAACTACCATTGGTTCAGTCTCATATTCTTCAACCTTTAAGTCGAATTGGACTTTAGGTACAACTTTCTTAGGCTCACGATGGTCAGCCAGTGACATGGAAATATCTATAGTTCGTCCAAGTTTATCATGTTGTGTAGTTACTGTTTCAGGTTTGAGGTTTCGAAGATCCGTATCTAGACGTTCAGTGTGAAGAAGCATTGAGATATCATACTCTGGAAGCAATTTCAGTAAACCTGAAGTAGATGATTCTGGAACTTTTGTTGTTTGTGATTGAACATCTTGTATTTCAGGTTGATTAAACACAGCTAGCAGTTTGTTAACACTATCTGAAGATCCTACAACTTGAGGTTCAAATTGTCTTATGTAAGATGTTTCGGGAGCTTCAGATAATTGGGCTGCATCAGATTCAGTGATAACAGTTCCTATTTTTAATGGCACAACTTCAATAGGAGACTGCGTTGGTGCTCTTTCTGTTATTAATTGTACACCTGGTTTGCCAGCATCAAGTAACTCAGGTTCAGTTACTGGTTTTGCTACTTGTTCGTATTTACCCGTACCTTCCTGAATAATAAACTCTTTGCTTAGTTCTATAACACCAAACTGTGGTTCTTTGAATATATTTTCACTGTGAAGGAAAGGAAATTCAGTAGTAGGTTGTTTTTTAATTACTAGTTCAGGCTCTTCTTTAGGCAATTGTGAATCTATTATTGTAGGTGTCTTCAGAGAACTTGTGAACTTATCTTCTGTAACAGTATACTGAATATCAGAAACGGCCTCGTTTTTCGCTGATAATGGCTGTTCCTTAATGATGGTGTCAATAACATTAGGTTTCGGTGTGGTTTGTGTTAAATCTTGTTCTATACTCATTGTTGTTACTTTCTCGATGTTAGGCTTTGTCATATCGATATCAGAATCGTATAAAGTTTGGTGTATCGGTTTTTCTGTGGTGGTAGAGCTGATAATTCCTGGTTGCTTACTTTCATTTTCTAAAAGTTTCTTAGTCAAATCTACTAAATTGTTTTGCTCTACATCTTTTTGTTCAGTAATTTCTTGTGTAACAATATCAATAGATGCTTTACTATTTTTTAATTTAGATATAGTGTCTGCTTCAGTTGTAATTATCTTGGTTCTACCGGAAACTATTTCTTGTGGTTTAGGTGTAAATTTATCTTTAACGAAATCAGACTGAGTTTTAGTCTTAGAGCCAGATTGTATGGTTTCACCGTCATTTATTTCTGGGGTAATAGTTACTTGGTCATCTTTAGGTTGTACTATGCTCAAAATTTCTGATTGTATCGGTAGTTTGACAGTTTTAGTAGTTTCTTCCACAAGTTCTTGTTCAATTTCTGGTTTATTTAGCGTTAAATCGATTTCTGCGATTATTGTAGAAGCAGGAACAAACTCGTCGTCTGACTCTTCTACAACTGCTTCAGTGACATGTTCTTTGCCATTAATTATTTCTATCCGTTTGATTATCTTTATCCGTCTAGTTTTCATACCATCGCTTTGTATGTTGTATGATTCTTTTGGAACTGACGTAATAGGTGTTTTAGAAACCATAGTACGATTCATTTCACTATCAATAAAGTTTTTCGAAATATCAATAAACGTCGCCGTTTTAGGTTCTGATGGGGAAAGTAGTGACGTTTCTGATGTGTCTGTATCTTTGCATACGTCTGCTTCATCTCTTGAAAGTCCTTCAATAATTTTATCTTCAGGTACAGTAATTTCTGTGATCTGAACATCTTTAGATATTTTCGTCACAGTCTTTTGCTGTGGTTTTGTTGAATTAAATTCGACAAGGTCTGGTTCCTTAGATTCTGTGGCTGCTTCTTCGTTTGGTTGTAATTTTATCGGTGGTAATACTTTGGTGACAGAAGTATGATCTATTTCACTACCAATAAAGCTTTTTGTGACGTCACATAGAATTGTGTCTTTAGGTTTTGAAAGTGTTGGTGATTTGTCTTTGTTTTCTACGTTTGGATATAGCTCAGTACTAAGCATTTCGGAATCCTTTTCAAGATCTTCCTTAGTTATTTCTGTTTTAGACGTTTCCTGTGTTGTAGGGTCAGTGGCAAACACTGTAATTTTTGACATTTTTGAAGATCCATCGATGACAGGTGCGGGTTTCGTTGATTCTTTTGAGACTTCATCTTGAGTTTCCTTTGGATCATTAATTTTTACTGATGTTTCATTTTTTGTAACAATTGTATGATCCATTTCACTGCCAATAAAGCTTTTCATCACATCAGCAAGAGCTGTATTTTTTGGAGCCAACGAAATTTCTTTTGAAATATCAGGCATTTTAGTAGTTTCAACTAGCTCGGGCTGTTCTTTAAGAATTTCTCCAGCTTTTATTGTAGATTTTATTTCAGTAGCTTCTATACCTTCTGTTTTAGAGGGTTCCGTCAATTTCACAGATTCACTGGGCTGAGTAGCTTGTGAAGTTTTAGTAGAAATGCCTCTCTTAGATTCGGTCGATTTTTCTTCCAGGTGTTTCGAAACATCTACCGTAGGTGTTTCTGATTTGGCTTTTCCTTCTACTGGCGATGCCGGTATTTTAGACACTTTCGTATGATCCATCTCTTTCTCTATAAAACTTCTGTGAATTTCCATATTAGTTGTATCCTTGTGTGTCTTTTTCTGAGACGTTCCAACAATTTCAGCCTTCATTATGGTATCTGTTGGCGTCTCATTGCCTACTTCAGTTACGCTAGCTATTTTTATAATACTTATTTCAGGTTCAATAGACTGAACGGATTCCTGAATATATTCTAAAGCTGTATCTGTGCCATTTTCGTCTTTCACGTCTGTTTCTTTTGAAGTCACTGTAGGAATAACAGTATCAATGGTATCATCAAAAACGGTGGTTTTAGTTGTGGTAATAGTTATGCTTCTTTTAGGTTCATCATGAACCTTTTTTAGTGTAGTAATTTGCTCAATATTTACATCAGGGCTAGCAGACATATGGTAACATTTTTCTGTTACTGGGGTCGTTGCTGATTCAGTAACGATTTCTGAAGGATTTGTAGCCTCTTGGTGTTGTTGTAGATCAACGTCACTTGCAATTAGTTTATTAGTAGTATTAACTACATCTTGTTTATATAAGCCGAAAAATTTGCCCTCATTTTCAATAAGACTTTTAGTTTTGTCAACGACAGAATGACTAATAGAAGATACTTCACTTGTTGGCAAATGTTGTAAAATTTGATCTTCACTGACATCGTCATTGGGTTCTTCAACAATCTGTTCAGTGACATGCTCTTTGCCATCTATTATTTCTATTTTCTTTATAATCCTGACACGTTTAGTGGTGACGCTTCCAGTTTCTGTACTATGTGTGATTTGAGGTTCCTCTTCAATAACCTCTACATCATCAGGTTCTTCAATTACTTCTTCAGTTACATGTTCTTTGCCGTCAATCACTGTTATATGTTTAATTATACGTCTTCTAGTTTTTGTTGTTTTCCGAACAACTCTTTGAACGACTGTAGCAATATTTGTCGATGAAGTTTCAAATGTAGAACGTAGGGTGCCTTCAGATGTTATTATAGTTTGTCCTACTTGAGGTAAGTTTTCAGTTGAGAATTGTATTTGTGCATCTTGTGGTTCTTGAACAATATAAGTAATACTTTCAGGATTACCTGGACATATTTCAAATGATTCAGAAACAGTAATACTCTCTACCGGAGTAGTTTCCTTTGATTTTAGTTCCCGGGTAACGGTAGATGTTGTAATATGAGAATGACTACTGTCTTTTTGTATAAATTCCTGCAAAAGATTTTCAAATTTTTGAGATTCGGTAAAATCTTTTGAAATATTTATTCGTTCTTGATCTTGCCCGTTGTCAGGTCTATCGTCAGGTTTATTATCAGGTTTATCATCAGGTTTAAAACCTGTGGTATCTTTGCTGGACTTCTCGCTTTTGGGAACCTCATCTTTACGGGGTGGAAGTGCAGGGTGGTCATTTTTGTCACTTTTTTCATCTTTATCTTCTTCATCAGGCACATCTCCACGTTCTTCGACGTTAATGGATATCCTAGGTATTTGCTCTTCATACACTTCGACATCATCAGGTTCTTCAACTACTTCTTCAGTTACATGTTCTTTACCATCGATAATGACAATGCGGCGAATGATACGTCTTCGTGTCTTAACTATTCTCTTAGTTACTTGTTGAACAACAGCTGTCACACTTGATGATGTTGTTTGCATCTGAGTAGGTACACCCATTTCTACAAGCTGCACGATATCTTCGGGCTTCATATCTTTGTCCATGGTAATTAACGTTTCAGGTTTAGATACAAACTCTTGTACAGTTACTTCACCTCCTGGAACATTTGATACAATTTGGCCTTGCGACGTTTGATATTGAATATGCTGTACTCCACCATCTTCTATGATGGAAGATGTAGCTCCTACATTCTGCGAAAGAGCTATTTGAGAGTAAGCTTCACATGGTACATTACTAGATAATATACGTGAATCATGTTCTTGACTTTGTAGCACATGTTGCCTAGTGACTAAAGTCTTTCTGATCTTCTTCACAATTATTCTTTTAGTACCATCCGCGTCTACTATGACTTCTGTAGTCGTCTCGTCAGGTTCAAACATAACTGTCTCGAATGACTGGGGCAGGCTATGAATAATATTTAACTCAGCGTCTTTTTTAAGCTTATCATCTCTATAATCAGCGTCAATCAGTAATGACTGCTCACCAAGTTTGTGCTCCCTGTGCACTGGCCGAGTAGCGATTTCAATGGTTTCGTGTCCATCTGAAACAGTCTGTTTAATTTGAATACTTTCAAACATTTCTTTTTCGGAATGTGGTTCACAAGTTTGTACTTCGACTTCTTGAGGAGGAATGCATGTAATGGATTTGTCATATGTTGGAATCACATCAGGTTGGCATATAATTGATTTATCAGCAACTGAAGGTGGTTCTGACATAAGGCTTTTGCCAGTTTGTGTCTCGATGGTCATGGTTTCTTTAACTATTTGAATTTCTGGTTTACTTTCTTGCACTGTTAGAACTTTGTCTACGCTCGGTTCCGCTGATACCACTTCAACAGAAGGTACCTTTTCAACTGAAATTTCTTCGATAACAGATATTTCTTTTTTAGGAATCTCTTTGACAATCTCAACCCCTCTAGGTGAAGCTACTTCTTCAGGCATAGATGTAGAATCGATTGTTCTATCTGTCTGGGTGATATCCTCTTCCACAATTTCAGGAGCAGATCTCAAATGCAATAAAACTTGTCTCAACCTCTCTATCTCTATAATGACTAGATGCTTAGTTTCCTCTAATGCTTTTTGCATTGCATTCAACTTAATTCTCAAAGACTGACTAGATTCATCCTCACTTATCACAGTTATTGACTTTAATATAATTTCATATTCTTCATATTCTCTTATGTAACGTTCATAAATTTCAATATACCTAATTATTTCTTCTTCAACGAGTATTTCCGACTGCACTGTGGTTTCCTTTAAACCGTTGTTAATGGTTTCAAGCCACGTGTCCAGTTTCGCAAGTTTCTCCTTTTGTTGTTCTACCTCCTTTGCTTGACGCGCCATCTCTATTTTAGCGTTCTGTAAATAAATAAATTTTTAATTAAGCCCTTTTGTTATTGTGGTTGAAAAGGTACAAGTATTTTAGAAAAAAAACAATCATTACTTTTAAACTGAAGACCATGCAAACGAGTTGTTTTACATATTTAGTTTTCGATTTTAGGAAGGTACTAGGTAGTTTCCCATAGCATACAACACTTTATAAGACAAATAATGAATTACCTTTCTTACCTGGATGATGTGGATTCCGTCTCGGGCTTGATTAAGCAATTTCACGATCCTGGCCTTCATGGCAAGTAACTCCTTTAGCAGGGGCTGTATCTCTTGCTCCGACCGATACTCCATCACCTTTGACTCCAGGATTTCCGCTGCTTCTTCACACTTGACTAAAACTGTGATGCCCTCCTGGAAATATTCCATATGACTCGAATGTAATCACTCATTTCCATTGAATCATTTAATTTTAAAAGATAGCACAGTGTTATCGTCTGTAGAGTCAAAATATTGATATCATGTTTTCTGCGTATATATAACTTTATTATGTTCTTTTCTTTTTTTTTTAAATATGATTTAATCTCTAAAAGTTCTTTGAAATTCACAAGATCGATATTATGGTGGCTGAAACGATCGCTCAAGGAATTTCAAAAGGAAAGAGAATCGTTTGATTGAACAACTTCCAGAGGTATGTACTAAAATAATGACATTGATATGATAGTAAGTAAATTCTACATAATAATGTATTACTTAATACTATATTATGTAGTATTAAGCTTTTACGACTGAAGTTCAGAATTCTATTGTGGTTTTATGTATCGAATAGAAGGGAACAATATTAAATGACATTGTGAATTCATACGAAACACTCAGAATCGAAAGAGTAAACGGAATTATGGTGGCAGCCGTGGTTCCGGTTCTGATAAAAAAAAATGGAATGTAGAAGTTTTTAAATAAACTCTAAAAATAAAGTATAGTAGTTAGGTTTGAGATAAAATCGTAATCACCTGTGATCTATCGCATGATTTTAAAATCATTTAAACAAACCTGGGACTCATCTACAACAATTATTATTATTACGCTAGCGCCCAGATAAGCGAAAAGTCTAATTCTAAAAAAAAGTCGGTCTGATTGACTGTGATGGCATTAATCTTTGTCTATGACCAAATCTAGGTGGTGATTTATCACAGGTGAAATCACAGTGACCAAAAACAATCTGGTCAACAAATGAATATGATTTAAAAGAAGCAATAATTTCCATGTCTAACAGCAGTAGTATCATTTAAAAGTACTTGTTTTTAAACTAAGTATACGTACTACTACTAGTAACTAAGTATTCACTTAGTTTCCAAACCAAGTTCTTTTATAACTAAAGAAGTACATTAAAAGAGCTGCAGTAAATTAATATTTCGTATTTATTTTATTAAAGCATTTCATCACATGCGCGTCTTAATACCTATTAAAAATTATGTGGAATTGCAACGCAGACGAGATTGTACAAGCAAAGTTAAACATTGTGACATTGTCTTAGGAGAGTTTAAAAATAATTATGATGTCAGATATAAGATATGGCTTTATAAATTTCTATCATTGCTTAATAAAATTATGAACGCAGAAATAGGGAGGTCCGAACTATTTATACGCTACATTAACTCTACTGATGTGAAAACAAGAAATAAATTTCTATGAAATACTTTTTATGTAAGTACTTAAAGTATTAAAATTACGAGTATGTATGTATTATAGGTTACTATGTTTTAGACTTGGGCCAAAATGACAGTGAACTGTGATTTATAATTCGATTTTTGCGTACGTAGGTTAGGGTTGCTAGGTAGGTAGGTTAGACGCTATTTAACAGTAAATTTAGTATTTTTAAATTATTGTGTAGGGAATGGTAGCTATAAATAATACAATAATTACTAGATTTATTATTATATAGGCGAAATAGGGTATTTATGCATCGTCTGAAAACAGCTTATTGGCAAGAACGCGTGAGTGGCAACCATAATCTACATACGAACAAATCAAATGATAAATCACCGGTCTTTCACAGTTCACTGTGATTTTGTTCCATGCTTACTATGATTGAATATTCATGTGTTCATTCATTCATGTTTAAAAAAAAGTCATGTGTCTTTAGTCTCGCATTTATGAAAGCTCTGAGAACGTTTTCGTGAAAACAAGAGACAGCAGCAGCAGCAGAGAAGGACATTAACGATAGAAATGCCATGGGCATGTAGCATTGAGCCAATTGTAACTAAGGATGTCAATTAAATTAATTTCACCTTAAAATTACTGTACAAAACTTAACTAAAATTGCAGTACAGTTTTTTTTAACATGCAGGAAAACCATTTTTCGAACATATTTTTAAAAAGTCCCAAAAATATCATCCCATTAATTAGAATAAGAATAAGAATAAATTTATTTCTAAAGGTATGGGATACAATAAGTTTTACGGCGGCCACAGCACTAAGCTCGAGGCTTGTATGTATCTTTACATTTGTCATACAGTTTTCACTTCAGTTTCGGCTCAGAAGGTACTACATATACTATATCATTATATTATGTAGAATATAGTAACAGATTTATTCCAAGACAAGATCAAAAGTCTTACGGATTTTATTGTTCTTAAGGAATATAAATACATGCCTAGGCAATGTGTGTGTGTGTGTGCTACGTGAATGATTTAATGTAGTAGTGTAAAAAAAATATGATATACCATTTAATTTGTGGGAATTGAAGATAAAGGGGAGGGGGGATCAGCTGACAGTTTGAATTAGATTTTCTGTGTCCTGACAGTTGAGGTTCACAAGCCACTTCTCTATGATAGGTTTGATTTTTCTCGTTGGTAGGTTTATGATTTGTGGTAATTTTCTACACACCTAGATCCCTATTTAACACCAGAAGCACTTTGTAGGAGAGAATAATGAAAACTGTCGTTAAAACAATCATTTTAACTAGCTCATTAAATTAACTTCTCCGCTGCCCTCCACTCGTAATAAATTTTACGACGGTCATGCAAATAAAGTGAAGTATTAGGAGGATGTTCACGTATGCCGTGAATCATTTGCTGCATGTCATCATTGCATTTATCTTTCAAACGACCTGATGCAGAGCTGAATCATATTTTACAGAATATGCTTTAGATAGTGTCTTATCAGTTATTATTCTCTTATAAAGCCTAATGTGCCTTTGGATGTGTTTACATGCAATTAGAACAGAATATTCTTTAAAAAATGCTTTTTTTATTAGCGTCTAGTTAAGTTACTTGGATGGGGCTGGTAAGACTATGTAAGTGATGAAAAAAAGGTTTTTCTAAAGAGTGTGGCTACAATTCTCTTTTCTAGAGAGAGGCGTGTTTTCAGCAGTGGACTACTTAAGGCTGTTAATGGGGTTACATGTATCAACTCTCTTCTAATTATTATTATTATATTATTGCCTTACAAGTAAGAAGACAACAAAGGCTACGTATTTTTTTGTCATTTGTTTTAAGATACTGGTGCCTGAAGTAGGAAAGAATGCCTCTATTACAGGTTCCCAATAATTATTTTGTTAGTTTTGTAACATTTTTAAGCACAAAACTAAATTTCATATCAACATCAACAGTCTTTAATAGTCCACTGCTGGACATTGGCCTCTCCTTAGAAAGGAGGTTTTGGCCTACTATACCACGCTGGCCAGACTGGGTTGGTACAGGGTTTGTGTCAAGTTTTCCTTCTTTTTTCAGCGCTGGTGTCCTGCTTTGTTTTGCGCCCTTAGTTGGCTTTTACGACCTACGGGATGAATTGGGGTAGCGACATTCCGTATTCTTAATCCGTCACTACACGGAAAACTATATTTAGTATGCTGTATATATCATTACTCATAACTTTACCATGTCATATGATTTTATTACAATCTTTATGTAATCCATGCGCGTGGTGACGGATTATGAATACAGAATGTCACCACCCCTATTCATCCCATGGGTGTCGTAAGAGCCGACAAAGGGAGCAAACTACGCAGGACAACAGCACTGCAAAGAGAAGGAAAACTTGAAACAAACCCTATACCAACCCGTCTGGCCAGCATGGTACAGTAGGCCAAAACCTCCTTTCTAAGAAGAGGCCTATGTCCAACAGTGGACTATTAAAAGCTGTTGATTAATGTAAAAAAAAAATAGGTAGTGTGGCAATCGTACTTATCAGTTGAATTTATAATTAAACACGCTTTAGTGTATTGTCATATACCTATGATGATGTCAGCCTAACATAACATTCTCTGTTCCACGAATTGACCTCAAACTTTAATTATTATATTTATTTACCTGAACAAGATTAAAATGGATGAACAGGAAAATCTCGTTAAAAGACTAATTAGAGCTAACAGAACACAAGAATACTGTAAATCATGTTGAATATGAAGTTTATTGTTATAACATTTCGATCATCTGACATACAACGCTATTTACTCGTAGTTTGAAACTAAGCAGAGCTTGTACCATGAAAGCTAGATGGAATGATAGAATTCATTTAGTCAAAGAGAGAGGGAGAGAACACCCAAACTCCGAAACAAATATTTGCAGATCATACAAACTTAAATTAAGGTAATATTCCACAGCATTAAAAAAAAATCGGAAAGAGTGTCTATATTATACTAGATATCTGGTGTCTGGTGATGGCCGCTCCTGCTTGCTAACCTAAGGTCGTGGGTTCTATTCCCACCCAAGACAAATATTCTGTAATAGCACGATATTTTTGTTCTGTATCTGGGTGTAATTTATCTATAATATTTAGAAATAAATCATCAACAACCTTTAGCACTCCACTGGCTGGCCTCTCCTTAGATTAGAAATATTATCGATTCCCGGGTCGGACCAAATGTTAGTATGATATGCAAATATTTGTTTCGGAGTTTAGGTGTTTTCTTTTTATAATATGTATGTATTTATAAAAAAAAGTGTATAAGTATTCTTTGAGTCAATCTAGCTTTCATAGTATAAGCTCTGCTTAGTTTGAAACTAGATGGCGTTGTGTGTTAGATGCCCGAAATATTTTTCTATTTTCATTTATTTAATATAATTATGTGCCTTATTAAGGCTAATAGGCTTGCCCACTATAACGTGTGTGGGACTATCAGTATAGTCTGTAGTGTTTAGTTCATCTCTGTCCCTCCATTCGGAGATAAGAGACGTGAGAATGTGACGTATAGATCTTACTCATTCTTTTAAAAACAATAGTGATGTCAGTATCATGTTTGTTCAAAGCTCAAAATCGAATATGCAAAATGTAATTCAGTTGATGATCTCAGTAGATTCATGATCATTGCTTAACGAGATACATCAGCTGATAGTGATATCATCTCTAAAACAAAACTGTATGTTATGGATCAGACTGAGCACATCAATGTGATGGATGTGATTCTAGCATATTTATTTTACTGTACCACATGCGTTGTATGACGTCAGCAACATCCCGCATATGCGAATCATTTATTGCCAATACTATTTCCATACTGTATAAATTATTTCTTAATTGAAACCTATTTAAATTAATATAATAATAATTTAACACGTCTTACAGAGGCTACGAACTCGAAATTTTGGTAGCTTATGCTTTTTAGGTTGTATGAAAGCTCGTCAGAAATGAGAAACAAATAAGCGATAACTAGTTTTGGAATATACGAGAATTACACAGAATTTGCCAGATATAAGGTTAGCCTTTATTATGGTAAGGCCTTTATTATGGCTTGTAAGCACTAAAAATAATATTTTCAGACATCTGAGATACAACGCCATCTAGTTTCAAACTAAGCACAGCTTGCACTTTCAAAGCTAGATTGACTGATAGAATACTTATATCTTTAAATATACACTTTGACTATTGCAAAGACATATTATAATAAATTTGTAACGAGCGGGAATCGAACAAGCAACCCTCTAATGTTCCGCCACTTGCGCATGAAAGCAATAACCGATACAAAGCCACGTACTAAACTATTCATCGAATCACAGTAAATAATGGTTGTGGTTGACTGAACTTAAATAAGTACAAAGTTTACCATTTTGGATATTTGATCGTTCTGGTTAATTGACAAACAATACCCAACCATTATTGAAATCTATGGTTGCATTTTGTATCAAGCGATATTTAATTCAATATAAAATGACACTATTTACAAGCAAATAAACAATTACGAATGAATTTGAAATAGGCACTATTACAACAAGTAATGTATTTAATTGATATCTACTACAATTATAAGGTAGGTACTCTCAATGAAAAAAATAATCCAACAAAAAAAGAAAGAAACAAAAAAATACCTTCCAAAAATTAATCACAACACCTCAAAAGTACTTCACAAAAGAAAATCGACTCCTGAATCGATTAAATCGTAAAATTATTTTCATTCGAACAATTTCGTATTCGTATCGACTGTACAGCGTTCGTTCACTTACTAGCCCTGTGAGAAGCCAAACACTGACATTATTATTAACTCAGTGTCGTAACGTTACAGGTGACATCATTTTGTGAAGCATCACAATATAACCCAACGCATGGTCAAGGCCAACGTGATTGTTCATTATTGTAAGGGTACAAAGGAACTGTCGGTACCTACCACTTGTCTGTACCTATGTATTTTGGTGTTTTCTTGTGACTTGCCTTATTTTATGGGGGGGCAAACGAACAGACGGGTCACTTGATAACACAACTCAAGAGCAATAAGTGCTTGACCACCCTTTTATTCCCTCCCTCCCAGAATCAGGGGAAGGGAGAGGGAGGGTTTGGGCTCCGGTAAACTCAGTCACACAGTGAAAATCAATGAAAGAAATTATTGACACCGGTTTTCTGTGAGGCCGTGGTATCACTCCGGCTCTTCTTAAATAGAACTTTATGATGATGTCATTCTAGTTATACAAATATATGCAGTTTTAATAAAAGGCATTGTAAAGTTGAACAGCTTTGCACAGATTCCAAGGTCATGTCATGACCATGGGCATTGATGTAGACCTATTTTTCACCTTTAATTGTTAGACGGTGTTATCAAAAATCAAACGCTGTTAAACAAGAGTTCTAGTTTTGTTTATAAGGCGGCATAACTTGGGCAATTTTGAATTCAGAATAATTTCTGAACAATACTCAATGAAGGCCAATAATATATGTATTTCAGCTACTAAAGTCATTGTAAATTCACGTGTTCATTTCTAGTCAATGGTATATATACAATGAGAACTTACCCTGAGACCTTCCTCCATGGCTTCAAGACTCTCGTCTGGCAGATCAGAAAGCCGAGTTTGTACATCTTTTATTTCTTCTAGTAGAGTTTCTATATCGTTAGATAATTCATCCTGAGAACACACGCTTTTATTAGCAAAACACACTTTTGTACAGTCACGAAATGGAATCAAAATTTCAGTTTTGTAAAAATCTTGATTTGACATCATGTTTTGATGTAGACACAAAAGAATCAAAAAGGAACAAAACTGAACAGACAAGAATCAATCAAAGAAACTTGTTTAGTAACTAAATATTAAAACAAACAGATGCATTTGAATAACCATTCCACGCGAAAATTAAATCAAGACTACTAAGTCTGGTATCAATAGTTTTGGACTGTACCCAAAACATCAATTACATACTCTTATATGTAAATACGTTTTCATCATAATGTGTAGATGTATAATATTCTGAATGTCTTTCACCGCCCAGAATGACGTTACACTTACTGTACCGTATTTAACTTGGTAAGGTATTATGAAAACATTAATACTGCGCACAAATTTATAAATATTAAGTGTTTTTAAAGACATGGCAGTTAACATCCAAGTATGCATAGTTTCTTTGATTAATTTTAAAATTGTCTTAATTTTTAATTCCATTTCGCTCGAATAATTTAGGGAGAAACATCCAAGTGATCACTCCAATGGAATGCTGGTTAAGAACACAATACAACAACAAAATAAAACGAAATTAGTTCATGACATTGAAGTTGCTTGGCATGACATGCAAACGGTTCTGCTGCAAGGGCTGTTATGATTCTCTCGGTCAACAAAGCTAGTCAGCACATCAAACTCTTAGTGTTCCGTGCCGTTCAAGTGAACTTGCATAAATTTGTAATTTGACGTAAATTTTGAAAGAAAATGTATATAGGTGTACTCATAGAGTTGCAGGAAATCTGAAACTATTTATGCAAACAAATTGATCTTTTGGTTTATCTAAACGTAGACTAGATTACAATAATCAGTTTTCCTGCACCATTGTATCTTAGTTAGCTTTGTCAATTGTAGCGTGGTGAAGCGTGTATCATCGACATTGACAAGCTCTAGGAATGGACTTCAGCACGGAACACTGAATCAACATAACTCACATCCAAAATGATTTTAATTTTAGAATTATGGATGCTGTCATAACGTTTAAACAATACAATACATTTTCAACAAGGATTTACCAAACAATACTTTGTAAAGGGTACTAGCAAAACAATACTATGCAATTCCAAACAAAGAAAAAATCCGACTGACCTTAGCAAAATTTTCACTTAAGTGAATTGCAGATTTCGTGTATTTAAAGTCTGTAGTCTGAAGTTGGGATTATTTTGATTTACACCAACCACATCAACTAAACAGGCCCAGTTGCAGACTTTATAACAACATAAATTTAAATTGGAAGCGACTTTCGTCTCGTAGTAGCCATATTTTGACAGGGGTAAAACTAATCATGACATAAAAGTATCTTAATAGATAAATAAAACAATGTCCGTTGTTATTATTCAAGTTTATTACAATAAAAAAGAAATATCAGATCACTGACAACGACTAGACAAAATTTTAATTGAGACTAGAATTGACTAGAATTCACACAATATAAAAAATATTAATGAAATGCATTAACTACTACTACGACTGTGAAACAGTGCACGCCAAAATGTGGCACTACAAGACGAACTGTGGCGTGGCTAAACACATTGCAATACAGAGCTGCGTAATATGTGAAATTAAGAATTTAGTAATTATATCATGCCAAACATAAAGAATATATTTAAAAATCGTACAATACGACTGTGGATCAGTCACCTTTGTTGTCCTCTGGGGCGCCGCCTTCAGGTCCTGTATGGATGTGGGTGGGGCTGGTTCTATAGGTAGGGTTGTTAGTATATCCTCCCTAGGTACAATCTCTTTCAAATCATCAATGACAGTGGACGATTCAGCACTCAAGTACGAAGACTTGTCTCTCCAGCTACATATGCCACCGGGAAGGTCCATGGATATATAGCTGGAGTTATAAGGTGAGCTAGGTGCCTCTTTAGGCTCCTCTGCTTCAGAAGTATGGCCAGAGCTACCACCCTGGTCTCTATCTTTATCGTATTCATCTTTGATGTTAATTTCAGAAGATTCAGTATCCGGAGTTTTAGTTTTACTAGCCAATGAAAGAAAATAGTTGCATTCTGCGTCGTGGTACAAGTGTTTTTCAGGCCAAAATGAATTGTCATTACTGATATTTTCCTCGACACTAATGGGTCCTACCACTTGCGGTTTATCTACGTTCTCACGTGTAATTGTTTTTTCTACAGACTTACGTTCAATTAATACTTTTTCCGCGTCATCAAATGTGTGTTTGTCCGTCCAGAATGTATCCGCTTTTAGGTTTGTGAGATTGTTAGTATCGGTGTCAATGTTAGATAATAGGATGTTAGATTCCAGATTTGAATTCACAGTTTCATATTTGGGTAGCAAAGACGCTAATGTATCTGTGGTAACAGCACTAGAATTAATTGGTAGTTTTACTTTATCTCGTCGAACTGACTTGTCTAATAAAGGTATATTGGTAACAAAGCCGCTCTTTTCCGCTATCATTTTAATATTATTGATTTCTTCTTCTTCGGTTTTACCAGAACTGGCTGACTGGTATGCTGGAACGTCTACTATCTTCTTTCCGTGGTGCTCTTGTTCAAGTTTAGTACCACTTTCTAAACGAGTAGCTGTTACCATGGGCTCTTGCATATTTAATTCCTCTAAAGAAATGTGTTCTATCTCTTTAGGTTCTAAATATTTCACTTCTTGTGCCTCGAATAAAATAGTTTCTGAGACATCTTTATTCTCGGAATCTCGGGGGGTAATATCTTCTTCCTGAGTAATCAACAATTCTTCAGTATGATCTAAAGACTGAGTTTCTGTCAAGGATATCGGTTCGGTATCATCCAGTAATGAGTCAATCATGCTCATACTGATATGTTTGTTATCTAAGTCTTCTTCAGGTTTCGGTATTTGATATTTATCTGTATAGCATGTCGAAGATTCTTCTAACGATTTAAGGTCAAAACATTCAGGTTCAGGGGTTGCTAACGATGGACTTATATTGTCCAGTAATTCATCATATTGAAATTCAATAGAGGTTTGAGTGTCAGTAAGTTCTTTAGGTGAATCATCACTCATTACCGAAGAATCATTTTCAGGCAGTAACATTTCTTCAATCTCCCTTTGTAAATCTGCCATTTTACTTTCAAGGGATTGATCTTCTTTAATTTTAGCTTCAAGTTCCTGTGTTTTATTATTCATAGCAAGAATTTCCTGAGATATTAGCTGTGCAGCAGATTGAACTTTATTTGCATCTTTGCTTGCATCAACTGGACTTACAGATATTTCTTGTGTAGGTACGTCTTCTTCTCGGATTTCTATTTTTATGGTTTCTACTTGTGTGGATGAAAAAGTCGGTGCGTGTTGTATTTCTACAGATATTATTTCATCTAAATCTAAACTGCTCGGATCTATTTTCCAATATTGAGCTTCAGAGAATACTTTGTCTTTAACAGGTGTTTGAATAAACTCAGGTGTTAACAGAGGTTTGTCAACTGTCTTATGTATTGTAGCAGCCGGTATTGTGGCTTGTGTAGAAGGCGTAACTTCGACTATTGAAAATGTTTCTGCTGCCTCAATACTTTCCGCAGATTTCTTATCTTTTTTCTTCTTTTTGTTCTTTTTCTTCGTTTCTTGTTGATGTGGCGTGGCTATCACATGCTTTTCTACTTCAACTTGTGAAGGTTCTTTTATTAATTGCTCAGGTTCTAATTTTTGTTCCAAAGGCTTAACGACTGTTTCTTTAGATTTAGAGGATCGTTTCATTTTATCTTTTTTAAGTTGTTTGTCTTCATCAGAAGTACTAGGTACTATATCTTGTACTTTAGACTTCATCTCCTTTTCTTTATATGAGCGACTCTTCCTGCCAGGTTTTTTTGTTGGTTTTTCATCTTCTGATGTACTTTGAATCCATTCAACTTCATCTGGTTTAAGCATGCTAGTCAAAGCATCAAACCTGTTCTCAGATTTCTCTCGAGTTTCGCGGTTTTCTGTCATATTTGATTGCGATCTAGTTTCTCTAGATCTAGACCTTGATCTGCGACTTCTATCAACTTTTATAAATCCATCAGCATCTACTTCAATGTCAGGTTTATGAGAATCTTTACTTGACTCATCAACAAGAATCATTGGGGGATGAATGTTTACTTGAGGGTGAGCAGTTCCAGTGTTATGAACTTCTGGATGTTGAGTTATCTCAGGCGAACGACGCTTACAAGCAACAATTTTTGCCCAAGACCCAATTTTGATATCACTTTCTGGAATTGAATCAATTACTTCCTCTATAATAGGTGACTCAGGTCGCTCTATTACTTTTTCAGTTTCTTGCGATCCTCCAATTACTGGTACCGATTTAACAATGTCTTGATCCTTTAAGGTATCGCTTACCTGTGTACATTCGATGTGTTCATGTACTGAACCTTCAGCAACTACTTCAGCATAAGATTTGCCGTCATCTGCAGTTTTCTGCCATATATTTACTGGTTCAGATGCAATTATCGTTGAGTGAGATGGTTGTGTTGTCGAAAGTTGTGGAATTTCAGAGACTTTTGGTAATGAAACCACTTTCTTATCTTCTTTATCCCTTTTCTTTTTCTTTTTGTTTCTCTTTGATTTAACCTCCACGTGTTCCTCATGTGTTTCTTCAGACGCAATATCTGGCTTGCTTGCATCTTTTTCAACCGATGGCGGAGTCTTTTCTACCAATTCATTGTTGGTTTGCAATACAGTTGAATAAGATTCCTGCTGCATCTCTGGTAATTTTGATACCGGCATACGATGGCTGGCTTCAGACGTTGCATCAGTAGATTCTTCTTTTATGGTCAAAGATAAAGGTGCATCTTTAACTACATCTGTTCTACACTCAGACACTGTAGTAATAGTCTGATACATGTAAGAAGGTGTGAATTCTGGTGCATCAGCTGATAATTTCGAATACAATACAGTGTTTGGATAAGAAGGTTTGAATTCAGGAATGGAGTCGATTTCAGGAAGGAGGTCATGCAAGCTATGTATGGGAGATTTCTCTACACGACTAAGAGTTTCCGATTTAGCGGGTGTCCTATCATTAATGTTGGTTAAAACGTCCGTGAATGTATGCGTATCGGTAACTGGTGAAATAATTGTTTGTGAGGGATTTGATACAGATTGTAATATTTTGGTAATAATTGATTCCGTCGAGATAGTATCGGGCTTGGGTTCGGAGATTAAATTGGTCTCAAATCCTAACTCCATTTCTATGATATCACTTTGATGTGATGTCGTGGAGGCTTCGTTAGTTCTAAATATATCATTCTTTTCTACGGATGAAGGAGTCTTGTCAAATTTCATCTCTTCGTTAACAATTTCAGAGCAAAGGCATCCTGAAGTTTCAATTTTGTCACCATGACTAAATGTTTTCTGCTCCTTATCTTTAAAAGATTGTTCAATATCATTAATATCACCAAATACAAGAGGTATCAGAGTATCATTAATGTCATCAATTTCAAATAATTCATGTGTTGGTTGACATTCTACAATATTTGGTTCTTCAGATTCTTGAAGAGCTTCTTTAATAAGATCTTGAATCGCTGTGTGATTATCTTGAGTTTTAGGGCAATAAGGTCCTGATTGAGGTAAGGTATCATTGTTGTTTGATTGAACGGTTTTTATGACAGTGTCCGAAGGTTCTGACTTTTGAACTTTGTCATGCCGTTTTTGAGCATCTTGACTAATGTTAATTAGTGCATCTGTTAATTCACTATAATCAATTATTTCAAAAGAGTCTTCTGCAGCACTTTCTTGTTCGATATTCTGAGCTATTTCATCGACTTTAATGTCAGTCTCGACAAATTTCGGTTTACTGTCAAAGTCCGGCAACGTTAATTCTGAAGTAGGTGTAGCATCTTCTATGTTACCATAAACCACAGATATTGGAGTATTGCTAAGATCATCAACTTCAAATGACAAAGTGATTTTCTTTAATCGATCTTTCGTAGGTTTAGTATCATCTTCTTGTGTGACCACCTCTAAAACGTTAGTTTCCGGTGTAGTTTGACTAGATTTTGACGATGCAAGTACTATTTCAGCGTCTTGTATTTCGTGATAATTATGGCGTAGTGGTTCATATATGGAATTTGATGAATTTTCCGTTTCTCCTAGTCTTTCGTGTTTAGCGCCTATTTCTTTTTCAACAATATCTGCAACGGATTTATCTAAAGAAGTCTTACTTATATCTTCCGCTAGAGGTATATCAATCTGGTGAACCGATGTCAATTCAGTTTGTTGGAGAGGACGTTCTCTAAAAGCAAGGAGACCCTCAGCATCACGTATTTCATGGTAACTAAACCTTGGCACTTCGAATATAGATTGTCTAAATGTCTCAGGTTCTGGTAAAGTTTCTGGGATATTTTTTGCAATTGCAGATTTCAATTTTTCAATATAAACAGGCCCTTCAGAACCGCTACTGTCTCCTTCTTTTGCCTCGGGTGTTACAACTTGTTTTTCACTGCTGTCATCAGTTTTTTCAGAATCAAAGTGTTCTGTACACTTTTTAATGGATTGACTTAATCTCATTGCTAGTAAAGATTCGGCATCAGAAATATCCTGATAAGATAATTTTGGTACTTCATCAATTAATTTTGTACTATCAATTGCATATTTATCTGAAGAAATATGTTTCATTTCATCGGATTCACAATGAATATCTTCTTGTTTAATAGATGTTTCATTTTCATTTTCAATTATTTTACTTACAAATTCGGTTTCGGTATAATTATCTGACCGTTCAGCCAAAATTAAGTCCGCACTTTGTACTGTGTAACTATCGCTAGTATTTACATCTACAGAAAGAGGCGGTCTCTCCTGAATTTCTTGGGGTTTCATTTCTTCTTGAGATTGTGTTGAATTAATTTTAGCGGCATGTTTTTCTTTAGATGGCACTTGTGGTAAATCTCTACGTTTATCCTCGGATTTCAAGACTTGTTGAAGATTAGTTTGAGACGCTAATACAATTTCCGCGTCCTTTATTTCGTGGTAATTTATTCTAGGTACTGCTTCATTAAATTGACAGGCCTCATTTGTAGCCGTGCTGGGAGTAAATTCATCCATATTAGTTTCTTGAATAAGAAGATGGGCGTTTATTGATTCAATAATAGTTTTATCAGCATCATCAGTTTTTTTTATACCTTCTAAGAGTGGCGAAAGAGATATTATATTATCATTAATGCTTTTCACTTGTTCAGTCAATTTATTACAAGCCTGAGATCCAAGAACTTGTTCAGCATCTTGAATTTCTTTATAATTAAATCTAGGTTCTTGTTCTACTGAAGTTGCAAGAGAATCTTTTATTTCTGTTACAGACATTGTAATATTTATTGGTTCCTTGTCATGTTTATCTTCTATTGACTCCTCAAGTTTTACCGTTCTCTGAACATGTTTAGTGATATCGGCAGTAATTGCGTCAGTTTCTGTTAAATTCAGCGATTTCGGTGCATAAACTGCATCGACAGGTTTCTCTACATCGCTCTCAGATATAAGACAATCAGTAACTTGGGCACTATGAGGTTTTCTTGGCTCATGTTCTAATGATACGTGCTGAGTGACATCTTGTTCGGATTTGATGTCTGTGTCCAGAAGTATAGTGTTTGCCGTGTTAACAATTAATTCATCTTTAACATTCAACTCTTTTGCTCGGCATTCCTTTATATTTGTGGATACAACTTTATCTATAGTGTTTCTATCTTTTTCTTGAGAACATCGCTGACTTAAAATAAACTGAGTATACTCGTAGTCTAACTGGTGTGTATCCAAATCTACTGCATATGATTTAATTTCCTTCACTAGGTCTTGATAAGGAATTTTAGGTTTTTTGTCATTAACTTTTTTTTCGGTCGCCACTCGATTACGATCTTGAACTGATCCAAAAATGGCTCCTTCAAAATTATTCGAAAAACTTTCTTCTGTTAATTGCTCACTTGCCGAGTTTCCTGCAGGTTCTTGGTGTTGGAGCTCAATATCGACAATATTAAATGATGTAATGTTTTGGTTGGATACGTCTACGCCAGATTTATCTTCAGTGATATCACATCTATTATTAGAGGCAGACTGCGTTAATATCTTGGTTTGTTCAGATTCAGGATTACATTTATTTACCTCAGGTAATGATTCAATAAGTTTACTTTCAGAATCTAATACACTTTCCTGAGTAATTAACTCTTCGGTAATAACCATTCTATCTAAAATATTATCACTAATAATAATGGAAGACTTTTCATTAGTGATTTTGTTATTTTTCGATTCCTTGCTTAAAACTAAATTATCTTCAATAGTTTGAGGCTCTTCTAATGAATTACTCTTACTACGTATCTTAACTGTCCGGATAGGGGGCAGCTTTTTTTCTTCATGTGTTATTAAGTATACAGTGCGGGTTTCAACGTCATGAGTAATTGGTTCGTAATGTGTTACTTCTTCGACGACATTAAGAGAACTTTCTTTCAACGTATCAGTAGAGAAGAATTTATCATTATTATTCTGCTCGCTTGATGGACTTGTAACATTCGGAGCATATCTTTCGGCTTGTACAGTTATCATTTTATCATCCTCGATATTTTCTAAATTAATTTCTGATTTACTTGAATGGGTAGTTCCTTCTAAGGGGGCAACCATTTTCTTGTCAATTAAAGCAGACTTCTCTTCTGTAAAAATATTACCAGTTTCTTGTAATATAGTCACTTGGTTAGCAATATACTCTGTTCCAATCATAGTTAAATCAGAGATAGGTTGGTTTATAGGCTCGATTGCTGTCTCAATCACACCCTCCTCTTCTTCTAACATCTCGTTCCAATCAATATGTTCAATAGGTTGAATATCATCGACTTCTTCTACAGGTAAAGTTTCTGTATCAGTTTTTATATTAGAGGTTACTTTAGTAGTTATTTCTGCGTCTACGGCTTCTGTAGTGATATTGGTTTCAACAGTATATAATTCTTGCTTAACTTTAGACTTGGATGCCTTTTCTTTCAGTTTCTTTTTCGAACCTTCAGATCGTTCAATCTCTTTCAATGCTTTATCGATATCGTCATCGCCAATTTTTTGTTTTTTAGATTTCTTTCTTTTATGTGGTTTAGTTTCTTCTAAAATAGGTTCGACTATAGTTGCATCGAAAGTTGGTAATTCAGTTAGATTTTCTTCATCTTTATCTTTTCCTTCATTTTCTTGTTTAGGCTTAGGCTTTGACTTCTTCTTAGATCGCTTTGATTCTTCTTGTATTTTAGAACTTTCTATCTCTTGATCAATGTCTTTAGTTCTTTCGATAGCAGGCAAGCATTCTTCTTCTTTCTTTAACATTTTTTCTCCAACATGGTCATTATCATCGACTAATTGCTTGGTCTTCTTATGTTTCTTTTTTTTAACCGATTTATGTTCTTCGACATGTCCTACTAAATTTGGAATTTCTTCCGCAACTGGCTCAATAATTTTGACATTTTCTTCAATGGTTCGTTCTACTGTTGTCCTTTCACAGGCCATGAACTCAGGAACAATATCTAGAATTGGATGTTCAGTTACATTTCCTTGCTGCTGCTGTGCGTCACCTAACTCTTTAGTAGTGAGTTGTAAAGAAGTATTTATTAGAGTTTGTATTTCTTTTTGTCCTTTCCTTTTATTTTTGCATTCCTTTTTAGGTAACGAAGCTTCTCCTAAATGTGTATATGCACATATTTCTGAGTTTTTAGCTTCTTCAGTTAACACAGTTTTTAACTCCCTAATAAACTGTGTATCTCTATCGACTGTTTTTACTTCTTCATCTTGCGTACTATGTAAACCCTGAAAAGTTTCTTCAGACACTTGTGGTGATAATTTTAAAACAGGGCTTTCGATTAAAGTTTCTGTAGTTGTTTGAATACAATCTTTAACATGGTTGTCTGAAAGAGGTTCAATAACTTCCTGCTTACCCTCTTTGACTTCTGGTTGATAAATAAGTTCAACAATTAATTGTTTATTATCATGAGTCTCTTTTAACAACTTACTTTCTACATTTTCTTTCTTAGAATCTTTAGTGTGAAGAGACGGATTTTGAATCACAGACGTTTCTACTGTTATAATATTCAGCAAATCATCTATTTTATCAAGTTGGCCTGCTTGAGATTGTTTGGTACACTTCTTTTTCTTAGACTTCTCTTTTGTTTTCGTTTCAAATGACTCTAAAGATTCGACAGTTTTGACTTCTTCATCGATGTTGCTAGTTTTCGCTTGTGAATCCTTATTACTTTTCTTTTTCTTTGTCTTAAGTTGTACGTCGTCTACATTTTGTGTATTTGATTTTATTTCAATTACGTCGGGCTCGAAAGGTATCTCCTGTTTTAATTGAATACCCACTGTATCCATTGTCTTTTCTTTAATACCATCGTTCGTTTCTTTGCCTCTCTTTTTCTTATGTTTTTCTAGATCCTCAATTTCTTTGAGAGCTTTTTGAATTTCGTCTTGAGATGCTTTAATTTTTTTATGTTTTTTCTTTCTAGATTTTTTAAGCTCAATTTCTTCACTGGCTTTCTCAACATGTGAATCCTCTGTAATAATTTCAGTGACAGTCTCAACAACCGTGGCACTGTGTTTAAGCTTTTTTGTGACTTCTTTGACCTCTTTAACGGGGTCTGTAGGTGGTACTAGCAAAGGTTCTAGTGTAGTTCTAATTGGATTTAGTTCTAATTCCACATCAGGTTCATCAAAATCTTGAACTTCAATTGCCTTTTTCATGGTCTTTTTCTTTTTCATAATTTGTACGTCATGTGCCTTAGTAGATCGCTTCTCTGGAGCGCGTCTTTGTCTTGGCATTTCTCTAGATCGACTTCTAGGAGGTGGACGATCGGGCCTCTCAAGTCTGTTTACCCTTTCTGGCCTTTCCAGTCTGTCTGGCCTCTCGGGTTTATATCTTTCGCTTTTTAACTCATGCGGATGAATTGTTGGAGATGTCTCAACACATTCTACTACTATTTCTTTCACCAATTCCACTTGGGCGACTTGAGGTTTCGGTAAGGCCGTTACGCTCTGAGTGCGTGGCTGTTTTCGTAATCCGAGTGCCAAAATTTCAGCATAGGATAATTCATGTTGGCGTTCCTTAAATGGACTTAAAGGTCTTTCTTTGTCGATAGGCGGTAACTCAAGCACTGGTTGCTCCGGTAAAGTATCTAATATAGTTTCAACTTCTGGTGCTTCCAAAGGTAGCTCCTGGTATTCAATTGAGGGAGTGGTATATAGCTCTTGAACTGGCTCTGAGCCCAAGTATCCTACATTATTATCATCATAGTATAAGTTCACATCACCAGTGCATGACTCACTGACACTTTTATCGTAACTCATTGTATCAATTTCGCAAACACGGGTGTCACTAGGGTCATCAACAATCTTCTCACTAATCACACACGGTTCGAGCACTGGGGTCATATCAGTTTCAGTATGATCATCATAAGCTGGGGATGAGGGAACCCGCGGTTCTCCTCGGGAACTAGAGCGCGACCCCGCGCCCTTGACTATCTCGGCGTAGGTGGTTCCGCCCAGCGCCCAGGGGGAACGAGCGCGGGCGGAAGGCTGGGGGGCAAGCGTGCTGGTTGCGCTGAGTGTGCTGAGCGAGCGGCGCTCGGGCGAGCGTGCGCGGCGGGCGGACTGCGCGTGGCGCGCGCTCGTCACGAGCATCGATAGAGTAGCTGCCTCGTCCGTCGACATCACGAAGTACGGGTCCAACGCGTAGATCGCCCCGGTCAGTTCTTCGATACGCCGGCCGACCTCCTGATACGCAAGTACGGACAAACACATGATTTACAAGGCTGTTTCTTGGCGAACGGGCTAAGCGAAAGGAAACGACAGTGGCTGCGATGCGACTCGTATATTTTACGTTCATATGCTTAAAAAAATACAGGGAGATGACGAGGAATCAACTTAAAACTAAAAGCGAGGCGATCGCGAACTACGCGTCGCGCAGCGGCTCTGCATCCGGGCTGCCGCGCTGCACTAGCAGTTTAACTCTCTCGTTACGCGCCTGAATCTTGCTCTGGAGCGACTTTACGCGCTCTCGACACTCCTATCGGAGGATATCAGTTCGACGTGTTAGTAGGGTGAGGAGGAGAGGTGACAAAAAAAAAGAACATATAAATAAATGATCGACTGTCGAGACCCAGTGGGCCGGTGAGGTGTGATGAAGCGGTGCCCGCCACCTAGCCCCAGGTGAGTCGCCTAACTGAGAGCCTCCTAAACAAAACTAGAATACTCGCTAGCCACCTAGTGTCGGGGGTCGGTGTGGGACGGAGCTTACCTGTTGCTGGCGCTGCGCGCGTTCAGGGTCGCGCGGGCTGTAGTTGGGCTGCGCGGCGTGGCGCAGCTGCTGCTCTGCCTGCAGTAGCTGTGCGCGCAGGCGCGCTACGTCAGCACAATACGCCTCGAGCTGCGCCAGCGCCGCTCCTAGCGCCGAGGCCTGCCCGGCCGTCTGGGCCGCCAGCGCGTCCAGCGCCGCGACAAGAGCGCGCGCGCTTGCCTCCACCCCCTCGGGCCCATGGGACTGCGCCGCCACGCCATCCGGCCCGAAGTGTACCTGTGAAAAACGTGCGCTTACATTCGGATCGACTGTAGTCCTTTCACAGTTACCTGAACTGCTGCAGAATAAACTGAAAAAGATACACAAATAGGTTTTCGATGTTTCTTAACTCACGTTAAGCTTCTCCACCGCGTAAGAGATCTTTGTCTTTTGAGTGGAAATATCGTTGATCAATTTCTCTCTCAGTGCCAAACGGTCCCTGAGAGGTTTCTTTGTGTTCTGAGGCGCCTCCAGCGCTCTCGAGGTCGCCTCAAGCCAATGTTCGACGTCCTTTAACTTTCTCTCGCATCGCTCCCACTCCTCGGCGAGTTCCTGTAGTAGACCGTTCTGCAATAAACGTTCAAAGATTAGTAAACATGATTCATTTTAAAAACTCCATGATTTCCTTTAGAACTACTGACTGTCTTCGCCAATCGTTTTTCGACATCGACTGTTGCGTTCTCCGCCGCCTCTAGCCGCGAGGGCAGATCTCCAGGACTGGTCACGCGTTCTATCGCTTCTATTTCTTTAGCCATATCCGCTAGATTCTTGGCTTGTTGTTTGCAACTTTTGAGCGCGTTCTGAAATATAGGAGAAACATTAGAATTTAAATAAAATTATTTTTAAAGGTCTGTATGAAAGAAACCTACCCCATATTCAGTCTGTTTCTGTTGTGCCTCCTGCAAGTCGGCCAATGGGAGTGGCCGCGCAAGGAATGCACGTTGAGTCTCCACCCACAGTAGGACTTTCTCGAGTAAAGTCAGGAATCTGGCAACAGCATCGCAGGCGTCCTCGACGGCCGCCTGCCGAGCTTCTAATTCACTGCACACTGCCGCAAACTGTTCGGACAGAGCCGATACGGTCGACTGTACCAACTGTCTTTCGCCGGCATCGCGACTACCCTCGACTATTGATCGAGCATTACGAGTCAAACGTTCCACACGGTCCGCTATGTTGGGCACCTCCGATCTGGTGGCCACGAGCCTTTCCTTGTAAGGCTCGGGGGGCAATGTTCTATCCCGTGCAGTGTGTTCCGCCGCTCGGACCCATGCCTGGACGTCTTCAACATCACATGCATACTCCGAGCGCGCAGTGCGGGCGCGTTTCCATTCCCTTTCCTTTTCTTCCATAGCTGCTGCCAGGGCCTCAGATGATAATTCTAGAGAGGACAGCTCCTGAGCGATGTCCGCCGGCGCTGATCCTCCGTAACGCTTCCGACTCTCTTCCGTGAAACTCTTCGTTCGCTCAACTAAATCGGAAACTTCTTTGGTCAGATCGCGCACGCTATCGGCCTCGTCCTCACCAAACACGTAGAAAGTCCTAACTTTCGCTGTCAACACTTCTATCTGCTGTCGGAACTCGTCGATCCTTTCCGACACGCGATCGAATTCAGACACGATGTCGTCGATCTCCGCGAGCCGCGCCGCTAGAGTTTGTCGCAATCTGAAAAATAGAAGTAATATGTATTAAAGCGTACAGTTCCGTACGAAATGGTATTAGATTGTGGTGCTAGCTTGCGGGTGAAGTGTTGGTGCCAAAACGCGACGAAAATAATCTGGCGCGGCAAGACGCTACGCTCGTGACGGTGCAAGGTCGTGGCTGCGGCGCCTGTGTGCCACAGCACAAGAGCGTGCGGGGCGACAGGCGGACGGCGCGTGCCTACCTTGTCGTTTCGTGCTCGTTCGCTCGCGGCGCTCCGCTCACGTCGCCCTCCCGTCGCTCAATGAACCGTTCTCGATAGATTCGCTGGACGCATCTAATTTTAAATTCCACGCTCTAATGTTTGCACGGTGACATCATAGCGCGCGAGTTTTTTTCGGTGCATTCGCCGGCCAGTGTTTACGTTTATCACGCACACCACCGCGTTTACCTTATTCTGGGGTGACGTTATCCGCTCGACCTTCAGCCGGCGGCGTTTACACTTTAACTAAAATATGTTGCGAATACATCGAGCCCAGTGTGACACGGTTAATGAGAACAATAACGAAACGAAACCAACTGAAAATTATTTATTGAAATTAAAATACAAAGAGCGACATTCGAAAACCGCATGCGGCGTAATTTTCTAAGGTGCGGCCAATTTACGATGCAGTATGCAGTAATACGCGAAGAAGTTTATTAAGTATATAAATACGTACACAGTCGTAAAAATATCCTGCAGGATAGCTTTATCTATGCACAGTAACACAACACGGCAAGTCGATCATGGAGCCGATACACGTAAGCACGCGACATTTTTATCACATAAGTCCAATAAACACATGTGGCCAACGCACGATTGCGTAGCACGTCCCGACCTGGTTATACCATAAAATTCGCTTCAGTACTGATACAATTCCGTCCTTCACTTATTTTCGAACCGGTCTCTGCGTTTCTGGTTCGCGGAAGGGGACGGTGCGATTGTCTTTAACACTCGTTTCGCAACCCGCACTTATAAGGAGGCACACTTTCATATCGCTGCTTAAACGTTATAATATTGAAGCGAATATATTTTTCTTGTTACAAAAATGGCGTATCGTTCTAAGTATATCTCTGTAGCCGGCTTCCAGTGCAGACTGTAAGGCCGTGACCTATAACGCGCTGTGATCGCCCGCATGCGCACTAAGCTCGGAAATAGTAGTCTGCCAGTTTGAATAACGATTACACAGCTCCCCCATGCCCTGTCGATGTCTGGCTTTTGTTTCATGGCAAAGTGAACTTTATATTTATGGTTGTAGGTTTTATATTTGCAAATGAAAGGGGACTGTGTAGTGCTTTCCAGACGCAGGTCTTGTTCTTTGGTGATTGATCCTATTCTATTCCGTAAATACGTCAAGTGAACTTTCTAGATGAAGTTACTTCTAGAGTTGAACAAGAACTATTTTGGCTAATTACAGTTGCTTAAGTATAATATTAAAATCACTGATTTCATAAATTGGTACAGCGACTACATCAGCTGATTCGGGGTCAACAAAAACTTTGCAGACTAAGGTCTCGGCCAAAAAGGCGTCAGTCATAAATTTTATCCTTGTATTATAATAGTAAAGGTTTTCAGCAAAATAAATACTTAGATAACGCTTTATTTATTTATCATATGAAAACACAGATCTATAGCGAAATGTTTCATGCTTTATAATTAGGCTGGACTGTGTACATTTGCTTATTGAAAAATGGAATGCTGAGCAGGCAGGTACGGGAGATGATAACAAAATTTGTAAGTATTACGTAGTCCGTGTGGTGACGGATTAAGAATACGGAATGTCACTACCCTAATTCATCTCGTGGGTTTCGTAAGAGCCGACTAAGGGCCCAAAACAACGCAACCAGCACTGCAAAAAGAAGAAAACTTGACACAAACCCTATACCAACCCGTCTGGCCTGCGTGGTATGGTGGGCCAAAACCTCCTTTCTAAGGAGAGGCCTTATCCAGGAGTGGACTGTTAAAGGCTGTTGATGATGACGTATAAGGCGATGACGCTACATTGGAGTGTATAACCTTGTCAAATACATCAATTGGACTTTGTAGTATGTCATCGCTATTTCCGAACAGGAAGTCGGCATTGTGACCACATTGTATAACGATCAATCGTTAAACAGTTTTATATACACATATAATATTTAGAAAATACTTCAATAGCCACATACAAGGAAAAGGTATGTGTTTTGAGAGATGAAAGTTATTTATTTAAATAAAATTAAACTTTTATATCAACACATACATCATTTTAATATACACACACGTACACTCACGTCTTTTATCCTTAAAGGGATAGTCAGAGACGTATGAATCGCCCACATTTTGCCGATAGTATTTTTTTTGAACGGAAAGTGACCATCGCCCATGAACGTCTGCAACTCAGGAGTCACAAACGTGTTGCCGGCCTTTTAGGAAGGAGTGCGCTCTTTTCTTGAGTCGAATTTAGTCAGAGCCTGTCCTATGGTAACCAGACTGCTGATAAACATACTTATAGATTTCTAAATACATACATATTATGGATAAATTACACCTAGACACAGAACAAATCGTCGTGCTCATCACACAATCGTTTGTTCTGGGTGGGAATCGAACCCACGACCTCCGGCTTAGCAGTCAGGGTCACTAACCAACAGACCATCGAATATATTTTGGACTAAACGTGCCTACTTATATATTCCTGAATAAGTACGCAAATATTATGGATAAATTACACATATTTAATTAAAGTTTTACTATAATAGTAAGTAAAAAAATTGAATGTGTCTTTTCAATAAACTGTGTTCTCTAAAAAAACTGTTTCTCATCAACCGTGTGGTGACGGATTTAGAATACAGAGTGTCACCACCCCTATTCGTCCCATGGGTGTCGTAAGAGCCGACTAAGGGAAAAAACTACGCAGGACAACAACACTGTAAAGAGAAGGAAAACTTGACACAAACCCTATACCAACCCGTCTCGCCAGCGTGGTATAGTAGGCCAAAACCTCCTTTCTAAGGAGTGGTCTATGTCCAGCAGTAGACTATTAAAGGCTGTTGATGATGTCATTTGTGAACCGATTTCTATAATTCTTTCTTTTTATTTAAATTATTTGTATCTAAGGTTACCTTTTCATTTAAATTTGCAAAAAAAAACATTCTACTTTTGAGGATTTAAAAATACAAAGCATGAAGAATATAGCTTGTTACAAATTATCATTATTTAGGCGAAGCGGAGTCGATGTTACTTTTGTCAACAGACTTCTAAAAAGAATGACGCACTTTCGGTCTAATGAGTTTTTATGTATGTATATTACATGTTGAGCCAAAATTGGTTATTCTCGCAGTTAGATACCTAAACATTTACCTACTAATACAAACCAACAATTAGGTACTTATTTAGATGTTTACGCAATAAGCATTTTCCCGTTAATATTTTAAATCCGTTGATAGAGTGTTTTATTCCATATGTATAACAAAATGAATTATACAGGCGAAGTTTACAAAGAAAATCAACCCAAAAAGCCGCTTAGAATATAGATCAGAGACTGATTATATCAACGAGAACCTACTAAGATTATTTTACATCAGAAGTTAATATTTGTTCGTTAAAGACATGAAATATATCATACCTACGATACTAGTATTATATCAATAAAGTTAAATTGACTATGTATCCTGTTAGGCAACAAAAGTATAGTAATACAACAAACCTGAAGAGTTTTTGTGGAGCAGTTTACGTAAACGTGCCTTTTTTTGTTTTAAAAATGGCATAGGAAGGACAAACCAGCACGAGTCACCTGAAAGTAACTACCGACAGTTGTAACTCAAGAGTCACAACTGGGTTGCCGACCTTGGAGTCTGCCCCCCAGAATCAGGGGAAGAAGGGGTTTGGGCTCCGGTGAGCTCACACACTCTTTGAAAATGTTTTTAAGTGAGTATATAAACTACTGTAATCTGATGTGTGTACCTTTATTTCTCCTGTGCGGAACCCCTCGGATACCACCCACCAGTAAGTGATTATGTCGTACCTATGTGATTATGTCGGATTATGTGTACTTATCATCAGGGCGAACGTTATGTGTTATCTTGAATAATAATAATAATAATATTCTACCACATACACACAACGCCATCTAGTCCCAAACTAAGCAGAGCTTGTACTATGGGTACTAGACAACTGATATAAATACATATATACTTTTTTTTTTTGTAAATACATACATATTATACATAGAAACACCCAGACCAAATCAAACATCAAATGTTCATGCACACAAATGTTTGACTTGAGCGGGAATCGAACCCGCGACCTTTGGAATAGCAGTCCGTTACACAAACCACTACGCCATCCAGTCGTCATGTCAATGTTTAATATGTTAATAACTTACAAATACTTTTTGTTTCTGAGAATTTATTTAAATAAAAATAAGTTTCCTAAACGGATTTTAATATAAACTGTATTTTTGTTTCCATAGAGTGAGCGGGTTGTTAGTAGGTTAGCTAAATATAATTTCTCGATTGGGCCAAAAGACAATGATCTAACTCTGCTCACTACTCTTAAAATAAATAGCGAGGAAATAATAAATATACGTTATAGTGTGATGCTGCTGATAAGAGTTCGACGAACTACAATATAGCAACGTTGCAATGTTGCCAGATAGATAATTTGTTTGGCACGCGGGTATTCACCTCAGCAGAAACTACGAAGGGAACGGTTATACGCCTTGAATGTGCATTGGTGCGGTGCTTTGATAACGTCCGAGGAAATTACATACATATATTGCCATATAAAATATATTGTCACGGTTGGTATATTCTATATTTGAATTACGTATACTTTTTTTAAACACAGACACTGAATAGCACACGAAATGGCTTGACACAATTTCAAATTTAAGAAACAAATTCTTTTTGACACATTTATTAACAAAATACCGCTGAGATCGGACACGAATAGTGGTTAGTTATGTGATGAGGACTATCATTTTGATCTGTTTATGTTACAATAAAATATTTAAAAACATATAAGCACGTTTATCAGCAGTCTGGTTACAAAAGTACAGGTTCTACCAAATTCGGGATCAGAAACAGAATTTGGGTGTGTAAAATGTGTCAAACTTTGATTATAATATTTATCAATAGCACCCGCGACTGCCGGGTGCTAGTGGTACCCGTGACTTCGTTCTCGTGGCATTTGAAAAGCGCTGCCTTAGTAGGTTCGATTCCCGGACCGTGCAAAATTTTATAAGGTTTTTCTGAGAGGAAAAATAGCCTAAATGACTCCTTAATATATATACTGATAATATTTGACTGACAGCTACCTGGTAGTAAAATATTATCAAAATCGGACAAGCCGTTTAGAAGATTACCCGGGATGAAAAGACAGACAGATTTCGACCCAAAACCTATAGGGTACTTGCGACTGACCTGGAATTGTCAATTTTAGTTTAAAAGCCTTACAGCACAAGTAAAGGGAAAATTCAGAAAAATAAAAAAAAAGATGAAATTTAAGGTAAATTTGGGACTTACAAATTTTCGCGAAAACCTAAATTTACCCATATCTTTTTATCATGTGGACTCAGGACCTTGATTTTTATACAACTAATAGAGACTATAGACCTCAGTATCTGGTATAAATTTCAACTTGCTAGGTCTACCCGTTCCTAAGAAAATCGGTGGTGACACACGGACAAGAGACTGATCTTTTAAGGGTTCCATTTTTACCTTTTGAGGTACGGAACCCTAAAAGTATCACCTGATTCATGATGTTATACACTGTAGTCATAATTCCTTAAAATTTGAACGACTAAATTTCTTAATCTGTTCTCGATAACGGAGGTAAGGTAAATAAACATACGAATTGAAAATCTCATCTTTTTAACTTCTAACATCGAATTTTTGTGTTTTCGATGATTTTACAATCCCAATATTTGTTATGCGACAACTTCTAACTATCAACATTGTCACCTAGTTTATTTACCAAGCATACAAGATCCGCGAAACAACTATTCAATGAGCT